AATAAAGAAGTCGAGTATTATTCAATCATTCAAGTAATAATTATAAAACAAAATAGTTTAAAAAATACAAGTAAGCAATCCGCAAGGTAACCCGATTGTATAAATACTACTCGTACAATGTTGTGACTTGTGTAACCTCCTAATTAATCAAAATAGATTAACGGGCACGATGCGAGAACACACTGAAGACTTATCAACAATTGCTTGTTGCATCGGTCGAAGTACATTATTTAAATTTCGTTTATGGTGTTATTAATTAAAATTAACGAAAAGCCTTAAAAATTACAATTTTCCAAATAGAAATAATTAGTGTTCACTTAATGTCATTTTAAATTCATGTACCGAGCGATGCTTTAAAACGGAGAAGAATTCAAATGTTTTTTTCAAAACCAGACATCGTTAGTATTATTTTTTGAGAACTTAGCTTAAATCAAAAACACGGTTTGGTAAAAAAAAAATATGGTCTCTGTATGCGTCATACAATTTGAAAAAGTATGACATCTCAAAATAGACGCCTTGCTTTACTGTGTTAATAATGTAGGAGTTTAAAAATGTTAACTCAAATGTTGTTTTATTCAAAATTTGCCTAAACGATGCGCCTTAATATGAATACTAGTGTAGAAAACCCTCAAGAGCTGAGAAGCCAGTGAAAATACATACCGATACAAATAGGTGTAATATGTAATAGTATGAATTGTAATTAGTCATAAATTATTATTATTATTGTTATTGTTATAATAATATAAGCAAATAACGCAACTACAGTTAACACAATAAAATAATTACGTTTTAGTTTAAGTTGTTGAAACACACATTTTATACGACTTGTATAAAACGCTTTGTTTAATTATAATATATGTACAATTTTTAGGTTTCAACAGAATGTCAGATTGTTTTTTGAAATTTGTATACATCAAGGTCGTTGTTTATTTATCGTTTAGCAAGTATGTATTTTATAACACTTTCTCGGGCTTTTATGGAGACATTTATCGAGTTGGGACAATCGACTTAGTCATACCGACAACTTCGATTTTTACACATTAGCTATTCTCCACTGCAAACGGGTATGCGGGTGTACACATTTTGCAACTGCTCTGTACTCGGTTGACTTAATAACGGAACAACCCCCCCCCCCCGACTCCCGAATTTTTTTAAAAAACAAACAGCAATCCGGGACCAGAATAGAGGAGAGACGGAGGAATGGGGGTGGGGGTAAAATACTTGTATTTTCCTTTTCTTCTTCGACGAGACTGGGGACGTGTATGTTGTGTATGATAATAATAGTAGACAATAATAATAATAATAATGTAACAGCTACTATACGGGATGATATAATAATAATAATAATAGTATAAGAAACGAGCGCGAAACCGAAAGTGAACGACGACGCTACGGCGGCGCACGAAAGGGAAACCGAGCGGCGCCTACGGTAGAGCTGTTGTACAGAAAACGCGGTAGGTATAATACGGTATAGTATTTTTGTATTGGTATTTACAAAAAAAAAAAAAAAATCGAGAATAAAATAAGTAGTACACGCCGAGAACTATTACGAGAGAGCGAAACCGCCGAGAGTGAAATAAAATATACTAATACAATACGATTGACAGTAATAATAATTGAATATTTCGGTCGGATTGTAAGAACAACAATAATAGTAGTGTAGTTGGGGACCGTGGAAAAATAGCGGGCAAAACCAATGTCGTGCCCTTGATCCGGTCTCCGCCTTCTGCACACGGTTGAACATGCCGGTACAAGGGCGTCGGTCTGTCCGGCGATTTTTATTTCGGCCAGCGTCAAGGCCGGTCATATCGGATCTACTATAGTTATATATATATATATATATGTATATTAATAATAATATATACAACACCGACGGCGGGAAAGGGGAGGGCGACGAGGAGAAGGAGCGGGAGTTTTTTTTTTTGGCCCCGGCCTCCACCGTTATGGCACGTACGCCGCTTCCGTCTGTGTTTTTTTTTTTGCTGTTGGTTGTGGCCACGACGGTATAGGAACACGAAATTAATAAAGCCAAAATTTTAATATCATCATTATCATCGTCGACCGTAACAGTGTTATAAAATGAATAATAATAATAATTGTACAATAATTTAAATGTCGTTATAACGTGTTTGGTTGACACACGCGGCACACGTGCACCGACGCAAAAAAAAAATCAGGCAACTAAAAATACCAAATTTGTTAGGTCAGTCCGGTGGTTTATTTGGGAGGGGGGGGGGGGGGTTAACGCGACAAACCAAAATTTTGGGTTTGTTAAGCCGAAGTGGGCCACGATGTTTTTTTTAATCATGGATATGCGTTGCATATTAATGCAATTGGCTGGATACAAGAAATTTCATATCGGCGATGTTCGAGTTACACTTTCACGTGATAAGAGATAAACACAGGTACATACATATACAATCAACTATATTGACAAGTGTACATGCCGCCAATATAGATAATTGAAGTTACTATATTTTTCCGCCATCTTTGTGGGAATTAGAACCTTATTAAGTTGATAACACAGAATCACAGTTATTATATTATTATACATACATAAATCCCACAAAAATGGCGGACGTCGACTTTCATAATTATCACTAGCAATCCAGCCTATTATGCATATCTGTGGAGAAAAATGATAAGCGATAAGTGATAAGAGAAAACGTATCCATGATTCAATGTTTTCACGTAGAGCGGATAAAATACCTAGATTCTATTTTTTTTTTTTTATATAAAAAGAATTCTAAAAAGTTTATATTCATTGTAATAAAATAAATTACCTACGCAATGTAATGTAAAAATGTGTTAAGAACTATTAGCGCATATTATTGCGACGTTTAGATAACATACTAATATTTTCCCGCCCAGTTCAAACTCCCACGACCGTCAACCGTGTGGAATTTACAATATAGACTAAATCGACTACGGTTTAACTATGCGCAAAAAAAAAAAAATACTATTGTAATTTTTTTTTTTTGGCAAACTTCTTCCCCGTTTAAATACAATAAGCATCGCTGCTGTGTATCCCCGTAGTAAGGTCTTTAAACTTAACTCGGCATTTGCCCAAATACAATATAATTAAATACGAAACACATTAGTCGAACGGCGATTAACGACGACGCACCGTCTAAAGTAACATAAATAGATTAATGGACAGAAATAGAGCATAATTATTTTTATACATTAAAATTTCAACGTTATCAACCGATCCGCACACGAAACGAGAACGGTGTAATTTGCACATATTTTTGCAGAAACGGACAACGGCATTGAAGATTCCAATAATAATCCATTTATACATGTATATATAATATGTACATAGGTGTCTAGCTAGAAATTAGACTGGCCAATTAAACCGCGATGAGTAGGTGCCGGCCGTGTAATAGCAGCGTTGTATAAAAAAAAAAAACGTTTTGGTTAATAGCGAAAAGTGTTTTCAAACACACATCATCATAATAATAATAATACCCGTCGGTACCCCGGACCTATTATTACCTGTGTTGTGTGTACGCTATAATATAATGTTATGTGTGTGTGTGTGTGTGTACCTGTGCATTAATGTAGCTGTAACACAGGGCACGCGTTTATGTGTGTTTACCGTTGTCGGCATTTATTACACTCTTACTTTCATGAAAAAAAATAATAAATTATATCGGTTTCCCAAAACAACAATCACACTGTGCTCGCGGCAAAACGGTTTTACTGATAAAATTTGATATTCACAGACCGGAGAAGCAACAGCAGTCTCTTATCAAACGTCCTTTATCACCGCCAATACAATAATTATTATCATCTATTACAATATTTTTTTTTTCAAGCAACACATGTGGGCTTTGTACCTAAGAAAGAAATCCTGAAACCCCAAAACGGAATATTGACAGTAATCAAAAACGGCACTGTCTAGTCAAAGTCTAAAAATACCCGTTGAGTTAGTTACCAATAATTTGTCGCTACTTAATGATTTGTTTGGGATGGTTACTGATCAATCGATATGCGCCTTTTAATCGTCAAGTGATTCTAAAATTAGTTGAAAAAAAATGAATATGTATAAGCACACACATACATTTATTATTTGAATTATTCGTATTGAATTCGATTATTACTTATTTAAATAAATCATTTGAAATTTACTCGTCAAGTTTTAATTTTTTCAATTTGTATTTAAATCATTTCCAGGGCCCAGGCACATAATGTTAAACAAATAGCGATTAATTTAAATAAGGAAACATAATGTCCTCTAATTTATGAATAGCTTAACGATAGCAAAAATATGATCTAATCCGGTTGATTTGAAAATGAAACCTTCAAACGTTGTCGGCAAACAAAGTCAAACCTAAACATGAACCATCAACAACTAAAATCATTAATTAAAAAAAACTGATATCAGGTATGTAATTGTAAATGTTATTCAATAACGTTCGAGTAACTTACAAACTATATAATACTTATTATTACACAATGTTGTCAAGTTGTAATGTGATACATAATTAACCCAATGAACTTTACATAACATTAATGGTAAAATTAAACACAAATATATGATCAAAACAAGCATTGGCCTAAACAAAATATTCTCAACCCAAAATTGATAATAATTGTTACTTTTTCCATTTTACCCACGAAACAAAAACGTACCTTTTAAGTTCAATATCCTTTTTTCGAGTTAAGACCAACAGACTAATATAATTAACAGTCGTGCCTAGTTGGATTATCTAAGAATTGCCTCGGAGAATTGCCCCAAACGTTTTTTCCCGTTTTAGCGAAGCTTAAGTTACTTTTTTTTTTTTTACTACCCAACAAAAAATCCGTTAATAGCAGAGCCGTTAAAAAGGTCAATATTTTATAGTTTTTTTTTTTTTTTTTAGGGTTCGTTCTTTGACCGTTTTGGTTGTTGGCCTTTTATCGTGCACGTGTTTGTACATACTTAGGGCTCGTTAACACCAACGCGCTAGGGGTGTTTTTTTTTAACAGGGTGTACATAAAAATCGTCTCCATACCATGTCGGACGTCAGCCACATCATGTGCACCTCACGGAACCTCAAGGCGACCACCGGTACGTCGGATCCGTTCACTCGGGTCCTCTGCTCTTTCAGCAGTTCGCTCTGTCTCCGGCCTCGCATCAAGTGAATCTGTATGCACCTGGAAATAAGACGTTTAAAGCACGTGAATACCATTTTGTGAGAATGTTTCGTTATCAGTCGCCCCGCACATATGTCTGTTATCAGCTGTCGGTCTGGGGGTCAGGTGACTCGGGAAGAGAGATAACGACGGCCATAGCACACGAATGACGCAGCACATCGCGTGACTTCACACAAATTAGATAACCAGTGAAAATATATATGGTACCACAACACATGATGTACCTACACATATGATTTTTTTTTATCTGAACCGCGCCACTCCTCCTGTATAATATGGCCGGGCGCAGCTACGGCATTCGTGAGAATCTTTTCTTATCCTACCAACGACGTCGGTATAGCTGCCGTATAATAAATTACAACCGTGTCGGTGAAATGATAGCGATTCCAAGATGACAAATCTCGGACCAGGACCAAAGTAGGTCTGCCTAGTTAGAAGCACATAGTAGAGATATCTACATAATAAACTCCATTGCTGACTAGTGATAAGAAAGTGGAAGTGGACGTCGGCCATTTTTGTGGGATTTATGTATGTATAGAATAATAATATATAAGTATGTCTGTGGTTCTATACTATCAGTGATAACAGCTGTTTTAATCGTGCGATCGGTTCTAATTCCCACAAAGATGGCGGATTATCTCTATTGGCGGGGCATGTACACTTGGCAATCTAGTTTATTAAATAGTATACATCTGTGGTTGGAAGAAAAATAAAAAAATACCGTTCGATATACGGTTGTGATAGATGATAATATCAACGATAACAGTATCAATAATATTTCAAGATAAGGGGTAAAAACTTGTTTTATCATAATATAGGGTACCGACCGATGGGCAAAACAACGAGGAAAGAAACATTAACCCGAATCGAACAATGTCCATGGCGAGTTCATCACTTTGGGCGATTGTCCAGAAGAAGCAAAGCGGTGAAAACGGATGTCAGGGCACTCTCTTAGAAAATGGCGTGAAATATCATATTAGTAGTGCATGAGTGTTTTAACGGTTTCGAGGGCGTAGGCCGAGATAAATATCGCGGCATGCGTGTGTGGGTTCATCTCTATCTTGAGTAGTATAGGCCGCGACCATCTGCTACCCCCGTCGATCTTCTCAGGATTACTACGAATATTATAATATTATCGCGGCTGTATGGAATTTGTATACAGAACACAACACTGCCGCACAGTCTTGTCAATGATCTTCGGCGTACGAAACACAATAACAACGCCAGCAAACAAATATCGGTTAGTGTTTTAGGTGCGCTGATGACAAAACAACAACGCATAACTATATAAAAACAAACAGTGTAGGGCCGAAAAAAAAAACGAGAAGATAAATACTCTGATGGGAAAATAGTTTTTTGTGTAAACAGGTGAGTTTTATGAAAGGTTATCGACACATATCTCTGTGCACGCCACTGTATTAAAACCAACTAAAATACACACAGGAATTGTACATGATACATAACTACACATATGAACTGTACCACGAGACTATACGGTCTAAGATACTTGGTTTCAGGTTCAATCACGGTGGACAAGGTTATGACTATGAGCGGATTTAGAGAAGAAAACGTTAACAATCCCAACAGTTTAACCTTATTGTCTGGTTATCTGTAAAACCACCCTAGCACAATATATTAATGACTTTTTTTTACTGAATTGTAACGGTTAAATACAATTAATATATTATACCATACTTTGTCCCAGCTGATAGTTGTGTACACATTTGGTTATTTCATCAGCTTTATCTCTTATATAATTGCTATATTGGTAACCCCATAAACTAACGGATGGCAAATCCTCAAAGCATGTCCGGCGGAAGTATTAAATAGGAAATCTTCTAACGAGATCGCCACTGCCGCCGAAACGTTAACAACGAGCACTTGTCGGTGTCGTTTTATTATCGAAAAATAACAATTTTTTTTATGACCGTCACTACAGTCTATTTTTTATTGGTTTTCTATAGGTTCCGGCTAATTGTTAAACATTTAAAATGATTTTTGCCCTCGTTACATAATGAAGCATAATATAGCTAATGTGCCGTTTTTAACGGACAATAATAATAGTAGAAAATATCATAAAATAGACCGCTCAACACAAATGACTAATAGGATACAAGCAGAGTGGAAAAGAGATAAACTATTAGCCTATACATGATTTACATACCCACTGAAATACATTAATACATTTATTATGGTGATAAAACAAAAGCAGTCCCTAAAAGCTATCGAAGTTGACAAAATAACCCAAACCCGAGTTTTGTCCTGATAATGACATCTTAATAGTTTGCTAGACTACCAAACTATGGAAAAACATTATCGTTTCAGTTGAAAGTCAATGAAACGCGAGACAATTAACAGAATTTTGTTTGTTTTTCATTGTCAATGTCTCATAGAAAATGAAACCATCAATAACATCTTAGTGAATTAAATGCTATACCAACACAAATGTTTGGAAGTCGCAGCCAACGTCAATTGGATTCACACCACCCACTACTACCCTCCAAAGGATTTCTTTCGAAAGCCATGTTTCTATATAAGTCGCAGCACACCCGCATAGTTAATATATAATTAACCCGCTTTGTGTTATAAAAATAAAAAAATTGGATAAACATTATTTTAAAGTCCATTATAATGAATCAATTTCTAAGTTTTATTATCCAAAGCAAATTAATGCGATAATAGGATGCATTGGAAGTTTTAAGAACCGGACGGTTTATTTTCTTATACAATAAATCACAAGAGATTTACAGTTCATTTACGGATTCAATTTGTAAATTCTAAATGTTAAATGGTAAAACATAATAAAGCAACTGACCTGAAAACTTTGCGAACATTGTGTGGATGAAGCGTGTTGGCGGTAACGGGGTCAAAGTAAAGAGCGTGGGCCTTCAGCATTTCAGGCGACAGTAGGTCGACCACGGTTTTTTCTTGGTCGGCCAAAAGTGCCAACATGACGCGTTGGGCCCGCATTTCCAGTTCGCGATGCATTTTGTACAGTGCGTTTTTCACGGCTTCTTCGTGCTTTTCCGCCAGGGCCATCAGCGACTCGAGTCGGCGCTGGACGTCAGCGCACGAAAAGCGGCCATCGCCGTCGGCAGCCAGCACGTCGAATCGTACGGTGTCCGCGGACAGGCCGTCGCGTATGGCCGCCGTCAAGGCGTCCAAGCACCGCACTCCGTGCGAGTACAGAGCGGACAGCTCGCGCTCGACCGGCGGTACGCCGCCGCTTTTGGACACCGGACCGTCGGCGGCGTCCGCAAACGTATTCCGGCGCTGTTTGTGCGACAGCTTGGACACCGTGTGCTTGACGAAGCGAGCCGTCTCGGCCAACGTCTCCCGATACAAGTGTCGAGCGGCGTCCGCGGTGTCCACGGCCGTCACGGCGTCGTTGCTGTGCCGGAACATGCGGTACTGGCGAAACGCGTCCAACGACAAGTCTGTGGCCTCCGCCGCCGACGGGTCGTCCAAAGTTTCGTCCACTTCGTCGTCAGTTTTCGACCACACCAGATTGTTGTATATGATCGATTCGATGTAATAGTAAGTGCCTCCGACCACGATAGGCACTTTTCCTCTGGAGTAAATGTCACGGATCTGACGTACAGGCAAAGTCAAGGCAAACAAACAACAATGGTGTGACGATGAGGACGTGATGCGCCCTATGTGTTTAAGTAGTTAGGCGTAGATAAATGTTTGCAAAATGTTAATTTAAACTCTAATATGTAATTGCATCTTTGTCGGCGATTTAAAATTTGTTTTTCAGTTACGCACCACAATGCGTTTTACCAAGTCCACGGTTGTTTTAGATTCAAGTTGAAATAAATGCCGAAACTAAAACTTGACCCAAAATAACGGTACATTATTCAGTCAGATGGCTAATTTTTCATTCCAGTACTGTCATTAGGGTTCTCCGATTGGCAAAAATACACAGTTTTCGGGGTGAGTGGGATGACAAAGGCGTTAACTGACAATTTCAAAACCATATTTTAAACATTTTAGCAACATTTTAGTCGATATAATGTATTCTCGTACAACGCTCGACACACAACCGAGACTGTTAATTTAATATATTTTGATAAATTGTGTAATTCATTCGAACACTTTGGCTCATATTCAAACCCTAATTGATGAACTATTCAAACTAAAAACTGTTTCGACAAAACTATATCACTTCACACCTTTGTACACACGCTCACTCACACACTACGATTATGATTCCTTTGTCTTACCCGCGGACCTCGGGTCGGTTCCAACCACGGTTCGAAATGCGCAATTCGTCGCCACCACGTGTCAACAAAGAACCCAAGTCAGTCGCACGTAGTTGGAAAACGCATTTCACCTTTGTCAGGGCCTCCCGGCCATAAACTTTTCCAACCCCTCTCTACAGGCGTTTACGATTGTCTAAGGGGTGGCACGTGCACGTGACCGTGGTCCGGGCGTGCAGGCTTAGCGGGTTGCCCCCGTGACTCAGACCCGTCCGAATACAGTAATAACTGTATTATTAAGCGCAGGACAAAAGAACAAGGGGAGGAAGGGAAACCCGAACTTGGCCGTAGTTTTTTTTTTTATCAACGGCCTTGTTTAACGAGAGCGACACGGACTAAACACAATAAACGCACTTGCGCAACGTCGTATTGGAAACGAGCCACTCCGCACACATATATAAGAAGTCAAGGACGCTTTTGTACCCCTAGTTTAAAAACGCTGAACACACAGGCGCTTGCACTGCGGTCGGAAGAGGAGGATGTGTTGTAAACATAATTAATCTGTTGAAAACCGATATGAAATTTTTGTCAACTGTAACACGTGTTACCTACTTAGTTAAATCTCAACGAGACGCCGCCAGAAATTCAGGTTTTGGCGATAAACCGACTATTTTTTTTTTTTCTACCGAACGAGGGATATAATAATTTGCTTTGGCCCGAGACATTACACCCGATTGTTGCGTCACGGTCGTCTATGTTTGCACGGCTAATTACAAAACAATCCCCCCTCGCGTACCACCACCCCCCCCCACCATCCTTGTGTTGTTCTCGGTTAAACGTAACACACATTAGTCAAGTATCGACAAACAAACGTGTGCATCTCTCCTGAATGCCAAGACGCGGTTTTTCGGTTTCCTTATACGATTTTCTACACTAGCAGGTGCAAACCTCTAGCCCTCCTAGCCAGTCCACACACACACACACCGTTTCGGATTACAATTGTATTTGACACATTCACGTATTACGTTCTCTCCTCTTACCGATTTGTCAAACCGATTTTGGCAATGATCGATTCGACCGTGTGGACCACCTCCCTCCGGACCCTCCCCGCATGTTCGTCAACCCTTAGCCGTGCCCTGGAATATAATTATTAGTCCCCCGACCGCAAAGGCCCGATAACTTGTTTCTACAAACGGCCGTCACACCGCCGCCGCCGCCGCCGCCGAGTGGTCAGCAAATTATTCTTAAAAAATATATATATATATATATGTACTTTACCATATTTAAGTCGGTAAACATGTTTGAATACTGTATAGCAATATAATATAGCACAAACGAAAATTTGTTCACAAAAATAAACGCTAGAAAATTGCAATTATTTCTCAACGGTAGTAAACTAGTAAAACATTTTCGTCGAAAAAACAAAATCAATTATTCTACTAAAAAACCTAACAAAGCTGTCTGCCGACAAATCTGCTTATACACGCGTTGTATTCGACCACTATAGTCGATGAAATGGAAAATTGGTTTTAAAGATAATAATAATACTGATGCGCCGATACCGTGAAATCTCCATTGTTTCGCTAAAACCTTTTAGCCGAGTCGTTGGAAACAGAAATTAGATACAGCCGCCGGCAGGAGGAGTGCTCTTGACGTTTCCAATACCTAACCCCCATCCCCACGTGTAGACTAAAAGTTTAATATTGCACCCTTTATATGGTTTTTTTTTTTTTTTTTTTGCTGTGCTATAACGTCGCCTCGGGACCACTGCACTGCACCAATACACTGTCGGTCTCGTCTACGGCGCACTTCTTCGTTAGGTCTGTATTTGTTTTTTAATACTGGCAAAAGCTCTCTACGGTCCACACACACACACACACACACACCGGTAGTATTAGAGGCGAGACAAACGTGGAGATCTTCTTAAGAAAACGTTTCGAATTGGGTTTAACCGATATAAACGAAACCGTGAACCGTGACGACACTTTCGAGGAGCGCACAAAAGAACTTCATTAGGGCCGCCGACCCGCGCTGTCGTTGATTATATTATACATTATAATATAAATATAAGAAAGAACAAGAGCTTCTTAATAAGGGGCCGGCGACCCGAAGCGACAGTTTGTTTTATTTTCGAGAAGCGTACACACTCGTCGGTGGCGATTGCTCCGGTCCAGTGTTAAAAAAAAAATAAATATATTTAATAATCGTTTTAAAAAAATACACCACACATTTTATTTTATACCGTTTAGGAAAAGGATACGATTTTCAGCGCTTGTTTCCTGTACTCGTGAACGTTGAATTCTGTGTCCCAGTCTACCGTGCCCATCATGTGGTGAGGTACGCCCTGAGTCTCTTCTTGGGTCGCCTTATTGGTGGCCACGTCCAGGTTTCTGTACACCTACGCACAACAGAATTTTGACCCGCGTTAATTATTATAATAATCAATCGGTATTAACAAGATGTTACGAGATGATTTTTTTTCCCCTCTAATACCCATTGTCTGGCTGTGTTAACGACAAACCGGCCTTAAAACACAACCGGGGAGGGAGAGGGGGAAGGGGGGGGGGTTATCTCTTCATCCCCTTCGTCGAGCGGAAATAAAATACATTCTACTACGAGGAGAGGTTTATGTAGCATTGCACCAGCGCAGCAAACCGGGGGTCGGTCGTAGGGGTTGTTTGCCGGCGGCGCATAATGTCCTTTATTGATCCGTCTGGAGCACACCGAAGGGCGAGGGGAGGTAGGTCGGTGTCTGTCTGGCTCGTGAGAGACTTGTTGCTCGCTACAGACAGTGATCGCTGCGAGTTTTATGCCTACTGTATTTTGTGCACACCCCATAGCGCGACGATGCCCTTCCATTTTTGCGCACGCACAGCCACGCCAAGTCATCGCCGAATGGGGTAGGTTATTCTATAAAAAGGGTGTATGCTTCTCTTGTCAAAAAAAAAAAAATATATATATATATACAAGATAATTTTTTTAGTTAGAGCCAGTCAGAATAAATCTCAATGGGTTTTTAATTAACAATTGGGACTTTAACTAGTTTTGGATAACTATTTTTAAAGTTTCAAAAGCTTAGGGCAGGAGGGCACCGAGTGGAGTGTAGTATTATTTTTATCTGCACGCCCCCTTCCCCTCCCGTCCTGACTTTTGAACTTCAACCGGTCAACATTTTTAAGTAAAACATTCTTAATTTAAAAAGTCAATAAAATATAAACGTAACCGTTTAACGTTTTAAAAGTTGATATAAAAATAATTGGTTTGGGAGGGCGTTAAAAACAGAACAATTTGAGAGATATTAAGATAACATTGTTTAAAAACAACAATTAAATTACCAATTAAACACTGTGAGATGTTGAGCGGCTAGCGATTAAAAAACACTGTATATTCATAACATTCGTGTTATCACAGTATCAAGACCAATATCGAAGCTTAAAACTTATTTGAAATAAGCAATATTCAAGTCACCATATTATAAACAATTTTTCTAGTGATGAAAATACGTTCAACTAAAGGCTGGAGCGCAAAACTGGACAGTAAGTAAAGTAATAAAGTAAAAAAAAAAAATCCGTGATTTCCAAGTTACACACATCGACGAATCGCTGGCGCAGCTTTGGTTTGTAGAAAACAATTTTAGCGTTTTCGACAATAGCATAAAAAAATAATAATAATAATATATTATGGCTTTGATGTGGTACCTACACCGTGTGTACAACATTATTGTAGGTAGATAAATAATGAGTCGTTCACCACATGAGAGCGGACAATACCATAGTATATTGAAGAAGAGTCGTAAAATAAAATACTAATGTAACGCCAGATTATAAAAAGAAGACACGGATAGTATATAATAATGTGATATATTTTCATACCGTCTTTAAATGTGTTCTTGTTAGAAAATTCTCAGAATGAGTTGCGCCTAGCCGGCGTTCCGTAAACACTCAATTAAAATAACCTGAAATCGTGTTAAAGGTTTTTCTATACGCTTTTACCACTCGTCTCTACGACCATGATCATGTCATAATAATAATAATATCATTAACAATGAGAAATAAATGCACAACTGAGAAGAGTGAACCGATGGTGACGGTTGTACAGAGAGAATTCGAAGAACGAACGTACATCTATCTTGCCTTATTCATATTATTATCAAAAGGAGACAAACCGATCGAGAAGGAAAACGAGGGAAAGGTACATCAATCGCATCACAGAGGAAAATATTGGGCTCACCGCAACACGGCTATAGTTTAATATACAATATTATGTTTGGACTTGTAGTCCTTATCAAACTTCAACGTTAACCCAAGATGTGCACGGAGGTATGTATAGTATTATGTACACACAATATCGAATAAGTGTTAAAAAGACAATTTTTTAAAAGCATTAAAGGTAAATTGGTCTTAAATTAATTGAAAAAAATTAGAGAAACGCCAAAAGTTCATGTCCACAAGTCACTGGCATCACAACCGAGTTGTATAATTTTACTTTATTTTATATAACATCATACTTTTTGAAAGACTAATTAACGAAATCATATCTAGCACTGTTTTTAACAAAAAAGTTTTAGCTCTCCTCAAAAGCGCGCCAGCCATTGTCGCTTTGCGATGTCAACAGTCATCATTAAATACAATAAAAGTACATATTACATTTTAAGAATTATTCCTAAACTATTTTAATGTGTGGCTATAATAATATATGTGCGACACTAGCTAATATACCCAAGGCCCGATTAGTTAACATTAAGCTCATAAATGATGTATACATGTATATTATCATAGCCATTGTTCACAGAGCACACACAACAGTCGAGACCGTTGGGCTCGGCAGTCCGACCCTGGTGTAATCTTATTCTTTGTGTCACTGTACTTGCGATTTTAGAAATGTACAACACGGCCAATGGGTACAAGTGCCTCGCCCCTCCTCCGTACACCAAAAAATCGATACCGAAACCGTTCGGAAGAAGCTCATTGTCGAGTTGAAATGATTATCATAAACTACTACCATAAGGCCAAATTTGTTTATTTACAAACGCAAACTCGGTAACGGGTTAAAGCAGCGCTATATAATTTTCGTTCTCCGCCGACCTCGAATTATGATGGGAGAGGGGTGGGGCGATTCTCCCATCCACACACAGCATGTCGGACACGGTAGCGGCGGCGACGGCCTAGTGTAACGCAATTATTATTACGGGGTGTTGGTTTTTTTATTTGGTATTATTATTATTATTATTATTTGCAATCCGTTTTGTGCACACGCTGTGTATGATAATATACAATAATATGTTGTGTACAAGAACAAAACAAGATCGAACCAGAGACAAACAAACCTCCCTCCCCAAGACCTAATACCTACTAACACCGAGAGAGTGAGAGTGAGATGCGGCGACGGGGCTGATGTGTTGTGTTATTATAATGCATATGTACTTGTGTTATATAGTACCGTTTCGCAACGGTGATTTCCCAACATCCACGGCCACGGGCCTAGACGGTAGACGATATTGCGCGACCACGGCCGAGACGACCAAGTATATACGAGGGTTAAGGCCGTGACTCGTGAGCGAAACCCAATGGTTGACTTAACAACACACACACACACACACACAAACTTCATAATATATATATATATATGTATTGTACAACAATGAAACGATCGGGCGACCGTCTTTCCGTTTTCACAAGTGGCAAGTAAAAGGGGAAGGCGAGACTGCGGCGGTTTTCTTTCCGAGTACCACCAGGTGACACCGAAACGCTACACGTCATAATGTACACAAAACATAATATTATACACCGTGCGCCACACTAACCGTGGCCGTCGCCGGTTCATTTGCATTTTTAAACCGGGCAGAAAACGACAAAAACAATATGACCAGCACCACGGTAGGGAGAAAGTGGGGGTAGGGGGGGTCGAGGACGTCGCGGGCGGACTGGGGTAAGAAAAGGCTCACTGTCTTAGGGATTTCCAGGGAAATGGGTAAATGTGATCAGTTAAGAGGACGTCCACACACCCGTTATTTTCTTCAGAAGACACGCCTTGCGCGGATTAATAATTTTACAAAAGCTGTAACCGAAACTGAGAATCCAAATTTTTACATAATATAGACAACAACATTGTCCGTGTTCTACCATCGCTCTTTTTTCAATATTTCAACCAGTTAATGAATTAATTAATTTAATTAAAAAAGGACTTTTTTAAAAATGGTAATATAGCGTTGGTTGTATTAGGTATATCGAAAAAATAAAGATGATGGAACACGGATAATTTTGTCATAAATAATATGTATAAATTTCTTTCCTTAACTATATATGAAGCCTGAGAAATAATAATCCACGCAAAGCAGTTTTGATGGCAAAAACATTGTATTTTATCCTATAGAAATGACTGTGATAGTCTGACACAAAACATGGCAATCAACAAAGTACCCTCAATACAGTATTAATTCGTATACATTATAGTTCAAACTCTAAATTAAGATTTTTCGAAAAATTGCCTATACTTTACTCCTTAGCAATGGCCAGTGTGGCGTCCTCTTAAGTCACGGAGGTGTGTGAAGCCGGATTTGGCAGGTCGACCACATTTTTCAAAATTAATTTTTTTTTTTTTTTGTTTATAAAAAAATATTAAATAAAGATATTGAAAAAAAAAAATAAATCTCCATAGATAAAGTATTTCTCTATACATTGTGAACATTTGGTAAACCTACTGTTGATACTGGCCTCACATACTTGTCCCGCGCAAAGCAGTTTTGATGGGAAACAAATGTTGTGGTAATTTATCCTATAGAAATGACTGTGGTAGTCTGACAAAAGAAAATGGCAATCAATAACATATCCTCATCATCAGTCATCACTGTATTAATAAGACGTTTACACTATAGTTCAAATTCTAAATTAAGATTTTGTAAAAAATTTCCTATACTTTACTTCTTAAAAATTAACGGAGTGGCTTCTCTTAAGTTACGCGGTAACTTTACTCTAGTATAAGTGGTGGACCATAACAGTAAAGATCAAAATCGAGACGTTAAAGTTCTTCGTTTATTAAAAAAGACAATTATAGTAGGTTCGAGACATTTCCATAGGAAAGTTCTCGAGTCTTGTCACTGTGTTAATAATAAAACTGTCAGTCGAAATAAAATTATAAAACGGGATTGAAAGCGGTCTATTTTTTTTTTGACATTTTCAACCAAAAACCCTGACAAAATTTCGACTACTTAGATTGGTCCGATTTCAATTCTGTAAAAAGGGATGAGTGTTCTTTGGCAAATTTACTAAGTTATGTCGGAAACAAATTTTTGTACTAATTACTATCCTTTGTTGGCCAATCGTTCAGTCCACCCCGAGTCACAGGTCTTTAAGAAGTTTCCAAACTTCCTGTACCTTTTAGAAGAAGAATTTTATAGCA